GATCCGAACGCAGGGTCTATCAGTCTCACGCTCGAGCGCTTAACCACTAGACCACTGAGCCGGCATCCCACGGTGTTAATGTCTAACTTCAACTAATCCATGAGATTGAGCGACACATCCACCATTGTCATCAGTGAGTTACTACCTTACAACTGACTTGGTTGAACTTCACTGGTCATTGTTTCTCACTAGAACTTTAGGGTACACATCTTGAAGCCAGTCACTACTGAGCATATGTTGATTAGTATCAGAAGGGGTTTTGTGGAAATTGTAGTAATTTCATTAGTTTAGATCATAATTCAATTGAAGCTAGACCACCATGAAAAACCTGGAAGCAGTGGACGGCCGTTTCGTCCTATTGTGTTCCGAGGTTTTCCATGATGGTCTAGCTTCAATTGACTTATCATCTCAACTAATGAAATTACTACAATTTCTACGAAACCCCTTCTGATTTAATGATATTGAATCCCATACAATAAAACCAAAATGCATGTTTATTATTATTATTATACCTTGTTTATTCTAGACTAGGAACAGTTGATTCATTCTCTTTTATCATTAGACTTTTTGTTCAAAAACTAAATATTTTTTTGTTTATATCAAGAGTTAATGCTTATCAACATATTTGTTGTCTAAGTGAATGAGTGAATTTTACCTTTATTACCTTCATGAATTAACCAAATGATAATTACTGAAAAATTACTTATGATAAGATAGAAATCAACTCAAGTGATTCATTTATGTTATTTGATGTTTTTTATATTTGTTTTGTGTTATCTTTCTTTCCAATTTCCTTTGTTATTTCCTATTGTGTATTTGATTGATTTACAATTTTACTTTTGTATTGAAATGAATATTATCATATAAATTATATCCTATTAATGGAACAAATAAGGGCATTCTGGTTGATTATTTCAGATGTTTTATTCAAGTAAATCCTTGAAGGAATTAAGTGATATGCATTAGATAGCATATATATATATATATATATATATATATATATAAGACAGTGCTTGTCACTTAACTGAGGGCTATACATTCAAAAAAATCAATACGAGTAATCTCTTAGGTAGAGGAAATAATTTTCAAAAAATAAACATTTTATTCATTCCACTTAATTCTTTTATGAATTCCATTATGTTTCATTCTAAATTGATAATGTTTACAAAGATTTGAAATATGAATACGTTGAACAGAGAATTATGAGTAAAGTAAGGGAATGAGAATGAAATAAAAGGAACGACTAAAAAGATTATTTTATTTCAATTCCTTTAAAAAGTCAATCATAATAATAACAATAGTTTATTTGTAATATTTTACTGAGTAACGCTAAGTTTAGGATTGTTAAGGTTGCAATTTAGCGTTTAGAGTATGTTTAAGCTGATTTGTTCACTCTAAGTCATCAGTTTATTTTAGTTTTACCAATCAAATAATTAAACTTCATTAAATGGATACAATTTCGAATACAAAAACATATATGAAATTGTCAAGTCATAAGGGATTCTGTGGTGTGTGCTACTTATACTGACATAAGTAGTATATGAGGTTAATCAGAAACAGAATGTCTGGCAACATAGACACAAGAGGATCAAACAGTAAAGAATGGAAACAGGATGCAATTTGTATGAAAATGCAAGAACAATGAAGTCTGGCTCATTTTGAGACAACTGATGGACATTTTGCAAATCAAGCATTTAATTTATGATTGTTAGATTTTATTAACAAGTCCTGTAATTTTGTGTCAAATATGTTCGATTGTTCCCACTAGTGTTCTTGTTCACTAAAATTCTTGTAAAATCAATTTTTGGTCGTTTCAATTTGATTAATAAAAGAATCACGGACACTAGAAGTTGTTTATGCAGTGATAATTTATGTCCGCTTTGTAAGGTACGCTTGAATTTTTTAAAGTATATTCTAGTACCTTTGAATTTGTTAACGGTTTTTGGAATAGAACATAATATACATTGTCTAATTGATTTGAAGTGGTTAAAAATGAAACGCCGGCATTATCATTCAATAAGAAATCAAAATAATCTCTCTATTTTTTCTCTTTATACGATAACATAATTGAGATAAAATTTTAGGAATTGAAATGCTTGAAATCTTTCAGTCGATTTCAATTCACCTTATTAATTTTTTAAAGTCATTTTGAATATTAGGGATTCTACAAATATAATTACAATTTACTTACGTGATACATTCCTTTTCTGTTCTAAAATTGTTCTCATTCCCATAGCAACCGAGATATTCAAAAGATATACATCTATTAAATTGTTTATCATAATACCAGCTATAAGATATTTTATTCGACTGACACAATGATCCTTTCATTAATGACTGTTCACATTTGTGCTGTAATTTCTCTGTTTCTCTTTTAACAATCGGATTCCAAACAGCATCTGCTTGAATTTGTTTATTTGTACACAGTTGTTCACAAGTGTTTCTATCTTTAAATACATTTCTGGTTAAACTAATTGGATGATTTGCAACAAGTGCACGAAGATGACATTCAGGAACATATTCAAATTCTTTGCATTGCTTCGTCGCTGAAGAATAGTAGTATCTAGAGTAATTGAATGTAATAATGATTTAGAATCTCAGTAATAAAATATTCAAATAAATATTCAGTGAGCATTTACACTGACAAATGTTTATTCGTTTTTTTAAAAAACTTGATTCTAGACGAGCGATAAAAGTTATCCTCCGAAGAGGAAGTTTGATTTATTAAACAAGACATGTGTACTATTAGCTGAGTTATAACCCGAAGCTTCCATTTTCTGCACACAATTATCTTGAGAATTAATGATTATAAAATTTAGAAAAGCTTGACGAATGCATCAATCTATTTTCATTAGTATTTGAATGGGGGCAAAAGCTCCTAAAAACAAGTTATCAGCTTTCATAATTCATCGATTAGAAAGCAGAATGAAAACTGCGTATTTACTATGAAACTGAGGTTATTTGTTAAATTTATGCTGATCTTCGGTTGAATAAAGCCCATTTTTGAATCAGTATCCAACCTCACTTCCGTATTCAGGTTGTTGTATCATCAAGGATATACTCTATTATATTTATTAAAATGGAAAGTTTATTAGTAAGAAATATGTATAACAAGATTGCAAAATAATTCAGTTACTAGAAATTTCAGCAACAATCATCATAGTACTGATTGTACTATTTATTTATATCACATCCGGTACATAAATGTCCCTCAAAAATAGCCAGATTATGTTCATCCTAACCATAGAGTTAAAAGGTTAAATGACTCTCATAATTATTATAAGTCACAAGTTACGATGTTATATATCGTAATATCTCCATTTTAAGTTTCAAATAAACTTATCGTAAGTGGATCTTATTGATAATTATCAATATTTGTAAATATGTACTAAATATCATGATATTTTTGTCTGTTATTGTCCTTGAAAATTGAGTTTTCGTGCTACTATGAATTGGTTAACCAATTAACATTTAGATAAAAGTAGTTAACTAGTAGAAAGTTCTAAGCTACCCCACCACAATGATATTAAGGCTTTGTTAGGACGATTATCGTGTTTTTCCCAAATATCTTTTTTTGTACCATCTTTTACTTATAATTATAATGCATCTTCGAAAATTCCATAAATTATGAGATCACGTAACCAGCAGTAGGGAGAAATTCGGATTTATTATCAATCGATATTTCATATTATTTCACACACGAAATCATATTGTTGTGTAGTGGCATTTTCGAGAAATAAACGGATAAACTTGAATTTACCATCACGGTGTTTTTGGCATGTATTTAGGACTTACAGTCCATCTTTTGGGTTTATATATATATACGCTTTCATGTTACTAAACGTTCTAAAGAAAATTATTTACACTGTATGCTAATTTTACTTGAAAAAAATTCAACATAACAAACAGCTGTTTATTTCCAATTTCGAAGAATTTAACTTCCCATTCATTCAACATATAATTGAGGGGACTAATGTACTCTTACAGTGTTATTCATACTTCATTATTAGTCCAATATGATTTACTGAGGAGTTGGTAAAATATTTAATAGTAGTTGACTCATCATTATATATCGCTATGAGAAAACCATGAGGTGAAAGATTAATAAACTTCAGAATGGTGAGAGATTTCAATTCGGGAATATTTATCGAAAGTTGTTTCATATTGTAGCTTGATGATGGCTTACAAAACATCAGTCGATACAATATGATCTAGCGACTTGAAAGTATCGTATACCTGATTAGTTTTACGTTTTATTAGTTTTGATCTATAGAGATCTCGATGATATACACCTTAAAGTTGTCTTAAGTCAAAACAAAATCCATATATTCAGAGAAACGGAATTCTCAGTGTTTTTGACCGAATATTGTGAGTGAGAATTTCGGAAGGAATTATACACTTGTCATTATTTTACTTAGATAACGAAAAAGTAATAAATACTAACTACCATTGTCAGAAAAGAAATGTGAAGAACACAAACAAAGATGACAGTTCTTTTAATTAAAAGCGTTTGATATAATTTCCAATTTGATTAAATGCATTCAGCCATTACATCTTCTCCTTATTATTTCAACTGGTGTAAGCAGAAAGTGAATATGTAATAAATGAGATTTAGTGTGGAAAAACCAAAATTACACAGTGCTGTTGTAAAATACATTAAATATATCATTTGCACATCTTTTTTGAGTTATTTTTTACATACTGTATTATTCCTCTAATTTTATTGTTATCTTGATTACTACATGATTTACTTTATTTTCTTTTTATTCCAATCCTCTGCTGTAAAGTATTCTATTTCCGATTGTGGCCACATACTCCTCATTTCTGTCAGCATAAGTAGTATACACCACAAATGTATTTATTTATTTCTGTAAACTGCTTATAATTCATAAACATTCAGTATTATGGAAAATAGTAGATATTTATTAAATGATCAAAATGTAGTACATACATTATAAAAGTACTATGCATGATTAAGTTAAGCATTAGGGTTTAATGGTTTATAATTATAAAATTTTACAATTTAATAAAATAGAAATAAACATTAATTTTGTCATATATATTTTGCAATCACTTTCAATAGATTAGTCCCTTTTGACAGCTACATGTTAAGTCTCAACTTTTTGTTTATTTGGATTACTAGAAAACTTTCAAAATTGTAATTAAAACCAATTGTGATTAGATTTGAGTTTTATAATGTCAGAATCAATGAGGCAAATTATTTGAAAGTGTGTATACTTAAATTTTGTTTATTTAATTAATCAAATGTAGAGTTCAATGTTTTAAAGTAGGTTAGAATAATGCTAACTATGACTGTTGTTTTATTTCATTTCTTTTATTTTTCTGTCTATTTTTTTAGTTATGTAACTAAATTGTTTGATTATACTATGATAATGAATCTACTCTGTTTATGTAACTAATAAATAGAATAAACCAAATTGAATTTGAGGAAACATACTTTTTAAATTTGAATTGTCTATGGTCATAGTTATATAATATACCCTTGTGGTCCAGGGTAGTTTTACACTGGTCTTCAGGAGAACCAGACATCATTCAGACTTTCACGTGACAACCCAAACAGTACAGCTGGATCCCGTTTAACAGGACAGCCAGACACCGTCCAGGCTTAAATTTTATAACCCGAGCAGTACAGCTCAATCCCCATTCACAGGAGAAGCAGACACCGTATAGGCTTTAACGCTACAATCTCAACAGTACAGCTCAATCCTGTGGCGCAACCACACAGATACCAAGCACCCTAGTGGACCATTTGCACCAATCATATACACATTCACGTCACATGTATAGTTATTCCGATCAATGATCGCGTGAATCAATTGTGCACAGCACGAACAGGTCAAAGTTGACCAATTCCGCTTACATGACAGTCAAATTCATCCATGTTAGCAATAGCGATATGCCTTACAATGTCCCAATGATAATGGCCCTCGGTAACACTGAAAAGCAACCACCAATATGAATGAAATCGGTTAACCAGCGAATCAATTTTGGGCATGAACAGTCAGTCGAACTTGCCAAAGCAATGCCGTACCATCCACAATACCAATGGCGAACCTCCAGTTTCATATGAGACCTTCAGCTCTACATAGCCATATAGCTTAGACTGCATACAACACATATGTAGCCCAGCATGAAGCGTTAGAACTTAAATAACGCTTAAAAACCATTTTCTGGTGTCGGAATACTATAACTAGATCACCAAGATCATTTTTATCGCATTTGCGAAATTTTCATTTTTCCGACTTTTCAGACCCTGAGTTAGGGGTAGTATCGCTAACGTAGATTAAAATAATGCCAACTATGACTGTTGTTTTATTTCATTGCCTTCATTTTTGTCTGTTTTTTAGTTTTGTAACTAAAGTGTTTGATTATACTATGATAATGAACCTACTCTGTTTATATAACTAATAAATAGAATAAACCAAATTGAATTTGAGGAAACATTCTATTTAAATTTGAATTGTCCATGGTCATTATTATTTAAAAATTGATTGTATTAATACAACAAACTATTATCTAAGGTAAGATATGACGTCCCAAAAAACGTTATGTTTAATGTCAACCAACCTATGATGTACTTCATTATATAAAACATTTGAAAAAAATACGAGTTAACAACGTGAACAGATTACGAACTGATTGTTTTTTATAGTGAACGTGATGAGAATGGTAATATTGAACCTTAAAAATGTGAATGTCAAATATCATATTCCTGTCAAAATAAGAATAGTTTTTGAGCATAAATTTCTGAAGAATTGACAAATTGACAAAAAACAATATTCAAAACAATAGTTTGTATATTTTACCTAGTTAGAAAAATGGAATTTAACTAAATTCACTTGTGAAGGAGTGAAAGGAAAAATGTAAAAATATTGAGTATTATAGCAAACCAACCGTTTAGTCGTGTTCAATGGTCTAACACATAATCTTTGTGGAGTTGGTGGTTCTTCAAGACATGCTGTTTGTAATTCCGTCAAAGAACATTGGAAATTAGATGGTGGCCAACAAGTATCAACTTGGCTTGCTAGTGGATGCCTTTCACATGCTACTTTAGATGCTTGATCAGAAAACCGCCTCCAACGATAAATCATTCCTGGACGCGTACATGTTGCGTTAATACATGTAGACCATGGACCCCAAGGTAATTTATTACAGGTATCCATAAAATTCATTCTTGTATGAGGTGTACTAATTGGAATTGGTCCACAGGTTTGTTTAGCTGTAGGCGTTTCACAAGCTTTTTCTTCCTGGAAATCATATAAAAAACGGGTTTCTTTTAGGAAATAATCACCTATGTGAGAAGTCAGGAAAAAGTTGACTTTTCGACATTTTAAAAAAATCATTGAAGTGTCGTTTCATTGTAAATTCATAAAAACAAAAAGTCATTTTGACAGGTTTATGCGATTTTTTGACAAAGTAGTAAACTAAATAATTATGTCATTAATTTTGCTGAGTATATTTATACACAGCTTAACAAGTGGAACTATCTTGAGTCTTTGTAAAAACAGTCATAAAATAAATGTATGCAATAAATCTATTCATAAAATGAGAACATAACAGATTGTTGTCCAATTCAGTTGACTGCGTCGAAATTTCATGCTTTTAACATCGATGAATCGATGAATTTGTTTCATTTAAACTATCAGTTTTACATTTATTTGTTGAGAAGTTAAAGTTTATTTCATATTCTAAGACACAGTCAAATGTTTCTGAAACGCTTTTATATGTAAAGAGTGAAGATTATTGTTTATGCGTTGAGATTTAATTTTTTAAGTAGATATTAAAGTTGGGACTAAAATATGATGTAACTTTTGCTACTGAATAAAAAGATAACTTGAAAATGGATAGCTACTGACGTTACTGATTAGTCCATCACCATAGATATTCTACTGAAACATACAAACACAAAACTCTCAAGATCAGACTGTTTTGAAGAAGGGCAAAGCATTGTGATATTGTTGTTACTTAGGAAATTGTAATGAACTTTGAGTAAAAGCCAATGATCATAATTAGTATATAGTGAAATTAATTTTAGAAGATGGTTTGACATGGCTTCGAAAATGTCACAACATTTTTTTACTTAATTTACCTTAGAAATACAAAAGTAGTCAACAAGTTATTTCATTTTGGTGCAGTTCCATTTTCTGTCATGTTTCCTGTTTTATAATATCATAGGTTAAAAAAGTCACAGTTACATGAACATGGATCTAATGCAATGGAACAATCAAGGGTAAGTAGGTTAATTGTGTCAAATGATCAACTACTATTCATTTGTTATTTTCGTTGCTTGTAAGGGTTATGTTTTACAGATGCCACTATGAACCAAAAGGTCTCCTATGAATACTTTAACAGATATGTATGACCTTATCAATAAAATTGATCTATGAATAAAAAATGTATGCGATGTTTAATTAGATTGTCCATAGAAATTTATGAGGTCATCAATTAAAAAGCTTTATTTGTAACGTAAAATTTTGGAGTTTTTCTGAACAATTATTGTAGGAGGATAATATACTATACACATTTGTAAGACACGTGTACAAATATATATTCTGTTTACAACATAGTAGATAAATGTATCATGAAAACAACAGGACATCATAGATTTCCAAACTCATCATTCATGGACTGAAATGACCCAATCAAGTAATACTCTAATTTAATCATTCTTTTCCCGTAAATAAATAAGATTCAGAAAAACGTCAACATTAATTCCTGATTTAGATAATGCGAATATGTCATCAAGATTTTAGTAGAATGTCACACTCATCGTTTTTTTAATTTTAAATGACATATAAGCTACCTTCTTCAGCTAAAACCAATAATATCATACTCATATTTATGCATATGACCTATTTCACGAATATTTACCTTTAATTTAGCAGCTAAACAGTCTTCATTATTCGATTGGGTTATACTATGTCTCGTTCGCCACATACGAGGTGGTGTATTGGTCCAGAATGATTTAGCCTCATTAGTGGAACAAGTATCTAAATCGACTTGAGTGCATGGACTCCATGGTGACCATTCACTTAAATGACATCGAGCACCCAATACGTCAGTTGGTGTTCTTTTCGTATCACTCTCTGTTGTACCACTTCTTGTATCAAAAGACCCTCCATAAGAATCACGACGGGGAAAATTTGATGCTTTTGACATAGCTTGATCTTCTTGAAGAACTTCGGTAGCACAAGATTCATGCTGAAAATATGTTGTAAAATGAATATCTGAGGAAAATAAACTTGAAGAAATTAGTTTTTTGTAGTATCCTAACACTAATACAACTATCTTGTTAATAAGCAAAAAGGATGTTGGCTGGCAGTGGAATCTAGGACGTGCGTTTCATCCTATTTGGAGCTAGTTAGCTGAATGTACCTGCATCTTAGAGTTAATATTCAATCCTAAACATCAATAGGAAGATTCAAACAACCAATGAGAATTATGTTGCTAATATTTTTAAGAAAGTATATTCATTCATCTATTTATTAAACGAATTTCTCACACACTAAACAACATTTTAGTTTCTTTACAATCCTAATCAAACATTCTAATAATACCAATTACTCGAACTCACCATAAAAAGATACATGTTTGTCGATAGTTTCCAGATCATTTTTCTATTACTCCGTTCTTTTTACTTTAAGTTATTTCATTTGTAAGAAAACCTATTTAAACACTCTAGATAAAAATTGATTTGGTCCAGAATAATAATTCTTGTTTAGCAGTCAATTCTAACTGATACAATAGTACTTACAAACATTCTATCATTTTGAGTATGTTGAATTGATGATAATGATTGAATGGATTTAATTATTAAGATGATTCGCTGCCTAATCAAATGTTTTATAATTTTTAAAATTTATTCAGTAACAGAATTTGCGCATTTTTAAGCAAAGATGGATAGAAGATAACAGTGGAATTCAGGACACGCGTTTCATTTTATTTGAGACTAGTCAACTGGATGTAACTGCATTACAGAATTGATGTTCATTCCATTATTCGAATCCAGTACCATTCACTTGAAACGCCATCGCAATATCCACTTATCTACTGAGTCCTGATAGCCACTTGCTTGTGAAATGATGTGAAGTTTAAATTGACTTGATGTTTTTTACTTGTATTTTCATATTGTTATAAAGAACTGCAATTGATCAATCTCATGATGAGTCCCAAATAAGATGAAACACACGTCCTGGATTCCACTGCTAGCCACCATCCATCTTTGCTTAAAATGCTTGTGACTTAAGGCTATATTGAGGCAATCCGCACAGTATGCACATATGCCAACAAGAGGCTGATCAATTCGCAATCCTAAATAACAATGGGAATATACAAGTAAAATAACACCAAGTGAATTTAGAATTTGTGCACGTTTGTTAACGTAGGTTACAGTGAAAGATTTAGTCAATCTGAATTTCTTACAATGATATTTGAATCATTTCATTGATTACTCCAGTTGGTTCTTTCAACCACTTTGAGTTAATAAATATAGTAACTAAATGTTATTGGAAATGTTTATTATGATCAATTTTAATTTTACCAAACGCCAAACTCAGTTATTTTTGTTTAAACTGAGAAAATCTTTTTGTTGTTGAGAAGATTATTTCTGAAATAAATTTGTGGTTGAATGACATTTATTCTAAGTCACAGGATTGTTCTAAGTTTTTCTTTAAAAAAAAGAAGATAAACAGTTTAATCTGAAGTTTTGAAATACTTGAAATAATCTCTCTATTGTATAATCATCTATTGAACAGAGCATTTCATGAGATGTTTCGAAAGAAACTGTAGTAAAAAAATGTTAAGTTTTCAAAATTCAATGTTTTGGTATGATGAACTCTTCCTTGTAGTATTGCTTTGGTTATGTTAACTTAAAAGATTGGAATAATCGACTTGATAAGCTGTATGGGAAATCGATAAGGAACTTTTAACTGATAAGATTTTCGGATACAAAATTACTCCTCATTTAATAAAAAACTAAACATACTTTAACTATTTACCCTGAAGAAGTTTAGATAAGTTTGCTGAACGAAACGTTGAAATTATTTCGAATTTCAATCGCTGAAATTATTTCAAATATAATTTTCACATATAATGACTTCTCTATACTCGGTGCCCAATGTCTGTCAAACTATTCGTTCTAATCTCGACGAATATTCGTATAAATTATACTTGAACTCTTATTTTGGAATATTCAGTTGTACTGAGATTTTTCTAAATATCTTACTGTCACAAGTTATTCCTCTATGTTCACATCCATTTTTATTAACGAAACTAGAATATAAAAGACTGACTTTTCAATAGTAACTAATATTAAGTGTCTTAAAGCACTGGTATTTTTTTCAGAAATCAAGTTTTCTGTCTAAATTTTGAACTAACTGATTTGTCAGTAATCCATCCATTTTTGTTCATCATTAGTTTCATATATAATGTAACTTCAGTTTATATCCAATGTTTTGACATGTAATGTATAAGATAAGAAGACGTTAGTTCTTCATAAATAGTTTACTAATCACTGAATAAATCTGATATGTTATTCAACTGATAATATTCCAACTTAATTAAAATTCATTTCTATCATTAATCAATATAACTCGTTTAGTTAGTCTCTTTTATAATTGTTACAGCTCATTGTTTATTAGATTTTATATACCGTTTGTTTAGTAAAATAACATTTGATAAATTACCTTCCGGTTAATTGTCTCAGTATATAAATGACATTATTATTAACACCTTGCAACACATTTTAGATATAGTCACTTTCAATACAGAAACTGAATTCATTTACTTAGAAATTTGTCTTTTATTTATTCAGCTGGAAAAATTACGTTTCAAATACAAGTTAACTATATTTTTATTCGTTAAATAGTATTTATTATTAGTAATAGCTGTTACCTCATTTATGCGTAATAACTCCAGTTCAACAGTACCAAGTCGTGCAAATTGTCTGCGCATACGTCCACTGGTCGATGGAATATTTAATAGATTCATTTGATCTGACATTGGTAAACCTAAATTAGGATTTCTAAATGTATTTGAACCACTGGTATGTAGATTAGTTAAACTGAATGAATCCGAATTCGGTAGAGATACGTAATCAGTTAAAACAGTAAATGGTGTATTTGGTCGTAGATCAGGTGTTATTGGACACATTGGTTTTGGTTCTCTTAATCTTTCAGAATTTTCAATGGGAATATATGTATTCCCAGTCATAACGCCAGCATCCCATGGTTCTAAACGAAATTGCATTCTTAAGGGCCATGAACAATTTTGTAGACATATATCAACTCTTGATAAACCTGTACACCAGTCGGGACTTGGAACTATACGTGATAAAAATGATAACAGATGATGAGAACTGTTGACTGCAAACAGGGCAGAGCGAAATCTGTTCGGAATTTGATAAATTATTTGAAATAGTTAAGTGTTTTCCCATTATATAAACAAAGTTTAAACATGTGAAGAAAAGTAATTTCTAATTTTTTCAGATCTACTTTAAACATTTAAACAGATTTTATAGACTACCTACTCAGATATAAAAGTTAGGTAATAAGTTACCGTAACATTTACTGACTAGCGAGTAAACTACCCGAAAAAGCAGCTTCTAGGTGGAAAGACAAAGACAAATCGTTTCCTATAATTCCTAATACTCATAACAAGACTGGACTGAGCAACACTGACTAAACTATAAAACCTAACTTGTAACCATGTTTTAATCCTACTCGTACATTGAGCGTTTTATCTTCGTTTTATAAGCAAAACAGAAACTTTTATTTGCCTAAGAATCAGATAATATCTGGAGTCGACTGTTAGGTAATTAATCTGTTCAATTTATTTATTATTGTTGTACACGATGATAGAAAAATTTAAAATAGTAAACTTTTATCGTATTTAAAAGACTGACTAGCCTTCATTCAGTGAATAAAACAAGACTGAAATACGACTACCTGTTAGCTATTGTTGCTTAGTTCGCAAAACATCAAGGTGATGATTCATATGTATTTTCAATACCCCTCGTCACACTTTCATTCAACTACAAATTTAACAATATATATACGCTGATAATTGGCTTCATGAAATTATTCATAACATACTTGTCATTTAGTGAGATGACAAACATTTAGTACTTCGGAGGACAAACAAGCCTCAATATTGTAGATATCCTGTGACAATGAATTTCAGAAAACAAATCTTGATTAAATGCTTTCTGAAACATAAGAATTAGTAAATTATAACGGCAGGTTAATTGGCCTATTAGTTACATTGCAAACTTTATGAAATTAATTCATTTTGTTCTAAAGATTACAGAACTTCATGTGGATTAAACTCCCATGTTTTAATTAAAATGTAATAAATTTTATTGTTTTGTTTTAAAATTCATAAATTTAAGGTCTAAAAGAAAGTGTACTTAGAAACTGCTTATCACAACAACTAAGTATCCTTTAGCGCATCACCTTCTTCCATTTTCACAAGAAGTGAGTGATGTGGGGAAGTATATCAAGATTTCAGTTACTGCCATATTTCGATAACACTATATCCATTTAACTTTTGGAAATTATGTGCTAAAACGTTAACTAAAATATAACAGTTGGAACACCTAAATATCTTATACTGAAATGATCAACAATCAAAGGTCAAATTATAAATGAAATACTCAGTCTGAATTAGTTTACGTAAAAAAGTAGTATCATTTAAATCTTCTTCATGTACATTGAAGATGGTTTCGTTCTCCTTAAAATCCAGGAACATTAGAAATTCACAACAATAATGAATTTTTTTTTATTTTTAAAAGCTAAAAAGACTAAATAATTGGGATCTCATACCTTTGTTCAGGTGGAGCCATAGAATCAATTCCTCTTGTACGTATAACAGTTAATATATTCTCACCTGCTTGATTACGAAATTCACTTTCCAATTTGGATACATCACTTGTAGTGCATAATGCATCAACAGCGGGTGATGCATAGCCACCAGCATGAAAAATGTCATATTGTGGGCTGTGTGAAGCACCTATAAATTATTTTAATGCATAGAAAAACTGTTATAATATTAAAATCATAAATTTTCAACGATAAACATCAAATTAGAATATTTTACATAGTAACAGTACAAAGAAAACTATATTTAAAGTGCGATTAACTATTAAAAATTTAGCGTGTTACTCCATTTATTGTGTAATTAGCTTCATTTAATCAGACACAACTATCATTTATAAATCAATGAGAGTTAAAACCGAAATCAATCAGGAGTGATACAAAACAAGGAGGGGCGAAAAAAAATTATTAAGGGTACTTGGATTTATAACAAGTTTATTCATTCATACTTAGTGGGGGAACGAAGTTTTACAATTATTGTTACAGTTAAATAACCTGATTTTATGTGGGGTTGAGTTATATTTTTAACTATTGATTACTACGTAGCTGGCGTGCAAGGTTATACTGGATTTCATGCATTTCTACTTTGTGACATTTAAAAAAAAATCCAGTAATTATGTTTCATATGACTATTAATCATAAAAATGTATGGATTGATTACATATACTCATTATTCCCCAATTTTAGTCATTATAATATATAATATCATCACAAAATTTTATAAGCATAGATAGTGGCTAGCAGTGTAGTCTAGGACGCTCTTTTCGTCCTATTTGGGACTCGTCAGTTGGATATACATGCATCTCAGAGTTAATTTTCACTCTAGGACTCGATCAATTGCAGTCCTAAGCATCAATGGAAAGATACAAACAAACAATACAAAATCAATTACAAAGTTGCTTTCCAAAATCATTTACCAACCTCCAGTATTCTATGATATAAACATGAACTGAAATACACCTGCTAACTAATAGTCCAAAAATAATGAGTCTTATTCTTGGCGTATTTATTTTGTCATCATGACAAACATTTGAGATTATTGTTTGGTTGTTTACTTCTGGTATGCTTATTACCACCATTTGTTATTGTCTTACTGTGCTCTTATTAAATATTAAAAAGTTTTGTTCTATGTTCAAAGTTAATAACTGAACCTTATGTATTAAGTTTAGTTTAAGATGTATAAATAAAGAGACATTGGAAACTAAGTTATCCATTTTAAATCTCGGTAAAATCACACAATATTTAATTATGTTTGAATGAAATGAATAATTATATATTCAAGGAAACAAGTATGTTAGGATATCATATTGGTGCTTCGATCAAAGCCGTAATGAGATTCTTTGAATAAATAATGTAATTTCTAATTTCAGTCTATTATTTTGTATACTGTTAAATTTATTTATTAAGTACAACTGAATTCTTTAATCATGTCTTAGATTAAATTTAGGTAATGTTTGACAAAACCGTATCTGTTGGAAAAGATGGATAATGGCAGACAGTGGAATCCAGGACGCGCGTTTCGTTCTACATAGAACTCGTCAGCCGAAAGTACCTGAATTCCGGAGATGATTTTCACTCCATTATTCGAACCTGGTAACGTTCACTTCAAATGCCATCGCGTTATCCACTTAGCTACTAAGTCCTAAATAACAATGGGAAGATACAAGTAAAATAACACCAAGTGAATTTAAACTTCACATCATTTCACAAGCAAGTGGCTATCAGGACTCAGTAGATAAGTGGATATTGCGATGGCGTTTGAAGTGAACGGTACTGGATTCGAATAATGGATTGAACATCAAGTTTGTTATGCAGTTACATCCAGTTGACTAGTCCCAAACAGAATGAAACGCGTGTCCTGAATTTCACTGTTATCCTCTATCCATCTTTGCTTAAAAAGCTTGTGATTTTATTGAGGCAATTCGCACAATATGCACATATGCCATCAAATGGCTGATCAGTTTGCAATCCCAAATAACAATGAGAATATACAAATAAAAAAACACCATATCTGTTGACGCTTCGTATAAATTTCCTATCTGAGGTCTGTTCATTCGTGCATTCGCTGCGTTTTTTTTCAACTCAGTCTCTAGAAAAACTTAAAATCTAAGATCATTAAAAATCAGTATTTTTTGAAGATTCGATTAGAAAAATGAAAAGAAGACATGATGAAACTGCGTTTAGTTTTTTAAAAAAATCCTTCTCTGTGTAACTTTTTATAGTTTCCTTTAAAATATATAATGACTCTAAGGATTACAGATAAGTTGTAAAGTGTCTTCCGTGTAATATTGATTTTAGCTTTTATTTTACTATAGTTAATCAGTTCTTTTAGTCACGTTTAAACTTAGAGATTATAACAATTTTGCCTACATTTCAAAAATTCACCTTTTTTCAGTGGACTTGTCCTCTTTTTATCGATATTGACAAACATGATTATTCTAATCGTTATTTACTTACAATGAAATCTTTCTTTTAAACAACAAAGTTCTATGTAGATAGTGTAGTTGACAAACTAGAGTTCAATGTAAGGTCATTTGAGGAGGAAAAAAAACAAACTTTATTATATAGAAAGATTAAACTAAAAAATTCATTCTTTCCTCAATCGATTTAATAAGATGAGATCTCATTGCTTTTGTTTATTTATAAAGTAAGTTTATGATACATTTATAATCAAAAAGAAAAGAGAAATAAATGTTGGTTATAAATTGTCTAAAGAGAATAGGAAATCCATATTCTTAATGAACTCAATCATGTATACAACGTTTTCTTTACTAATCATGATTATAATAATAATTCGCTTAGATAAATCATATCTTCATTATCTAATGTGATGCACTTGAGTATTATTTGCAAAAAACTATTAGAGATATGTCATGTAAACAGAATAATGAATTCAAAAGGTGAGCTAATAGACATTTATAAACATCGGTTTCAGTTTGAAAAAGATGTGAGTTGATAAAAAAACCAAGGAAATAGTTTCGGCTGTAATATCACAAGTTTTCTATGATCGTGGATACATACTTGAAGTGTTTAGTTTATCTCTTCTAGGGATACTGCCGATCCCAAGCCCCGGTAAAGTGGGATGGTAGGGTGTGAAATCGGCAACCCTATCCCGTAAAAAATTACTAAAAAAAGCCTGCCAGGTTAAACAAACTAAATAATTTAAACTCTGCTTTCGGAATTCAAGGAAGAATTATGACACATCTTGATGGAAGCTCATATTCTTCGAAAGTCATGAAGCCGATGCTTCTTCTAACAACGAGAGCAATAATTTTTATAGGTACATGGAATGTCTCAACAATGTGGGAGACCGGAAAGACCAGTCAAATAGCAACAGAAATGAGGAGATACAATTTGGCGGTTCTCGAAATCAGCGAAACCCATTGAACTTAAGCTGAATAGCAAAGTTTAGTACGGGAGATATGCTGTTGTACTCTGGTTACGAAATACTCCACACACTCTAGGAGTTACTCCGATGCTGTCCAAACAAGCACTTACAGTACTTATAGGATGGGAATCTCATGAATTTAAAATCATTAAAGCATCATTCAAGATAAAGGTGGAGATTATAATGAATGCTAATCAGTACTATGGACCCAATAATTCTGGTAATGAAGACGATGAAAATCAGTTTAACGACAGAATGCAATAGATCATAGCGAAGTGTCCCGAGGAAAACCTGACGATCCTTATGGTAATCCTAAACTCTGATGTCGGAATAGATAACAACGGGTATGAAAATGTCATGGGACGACATGGACTGACTGGGAGAAAGGAACGAGAACGGCAATAGATTTTCGAATTTATGTGCATTAAATAAAGTAGTTGTGAGCATCACTATATTCCCACATAAACGCATACACAAAGCTACATGGGTCTCACTGGATCACACTACACAGAATCAGATTGGTCAAATTACATCAGAAAGTATTAAAAAGATCAATCAACGGAAGACGTAAGAACCATGAGATGAGCCGACATAGCTTCAGATCACCACTAGTTGATGGTTATCATTATGGAACCGAAGCTAAAGAAGCACTGGACAACTGGGGAAACGGCACTATTAAAGGTTCAATACAGCCTTTCTTGAAGGTACTGACAAACTCAACGGACTCAAAATAGCCCTCAACAACAGGTTCCAAACCTGACAAAATTTACTCACCGAGGAGGAAACTACTATGGAGAACTACAGGATCAAAGAAGTACTAATCATTATATCCGGATGAAGAATAAATAAATGGTAACCATCACGAATTATTTATGAACTGTTATTATACATATATTCTTATTGTTCAACTGTTAAGTGACTAGATTGTATACATCCATATTCCTTTTATTATAAGCTTTTATTTGACCTATTGACTATTATCACATGATTAACTACTCTTAAGATATTCTCTATTGATTAGTAACAGTCACTCACAATCACTGCCACATTTTGGCTTGATCCTGTACAATTTTTATTTTTATTCTATGGTATGATGTGGTTTGCTTTGCTTGTATGTAAACCAAGTATGTCTGAAATAAATGATTCATATAGTGGGAAGTGATGTTGGTGCTCTGGACACGAAAGGCATAGCTAGGAAGAAAAAGGACCAATAAGGACGCTAAGCTGCTCATACCGGTCACTATGTCATTGTTGTGGCACAGTTTGTAGATTGTATAAGTCGTATTCTGATTGGCGGAGCGAGCACGTGATACATCAACTGGCCACAAGTCATAACACTATCTTCAACGTGTTAAGAGTTTCTGGGCCGCAAGAAGCATCATAATAAAGAATGGATCGCTATTGAAACCCAGGAAAAGATTCAAGGAAGGAAGAACGAGAAGACAACATTTAATTACAGCTGAACACGAGCAGAGAAAGTCGAGGCACAAGCTGAATACTGAGAAGCATACAACCGAGTGAAGAGGAGCATTAGAGCCGACAAGCAGAACTACGTGGAAGACCTATCAACGACAGTGGAAAAAACTGCAAGAGAAGTAAATATGAAACAACTAATTAACACAATTGGGAAACTGGCAGAGAAATATAGTAAACCAGAGGGGGTGGTCAAGGACAAAGAAGACATGTCAATCACTGAGATTCAAGAACAGAGGAACAAATGGGTAGAAAACTTTGAGGGATTCTTTAAT